CGAAGCGCCGTGAGATATTCGGCGAGTCACATGAAGGGTGCGCTGCATCCTGCTAAGGGTGATTGACATCTTGTGCTTACTTCCTTGCGTACGGATGACAGCTGCGTATGACTTCATTTATTTACTGGTGCTTTCACTTCCGGAGCCAGTTGTAAGCACCGTGTTACTGCCTCGAGGGCGCGTAACCATTTGAAGACAACGTGTTGCGATCATCCCTCATGCGCGGAGTGAGGGTTCTCGACCCCGCACAACATGATGATGATCTAGTCGACCACCATTATGGTTACCGCCAAAAAATACAACCGGAGGTAAAAAAAAACCGGCAACCTGGTTGCCGAGTTCACGAAGTGAATTGGCTTGTTAACAACGTCGTTGCCAAGCGACGAAAACCTAACCCCGACGGCAAACACCGGGGGGGGGGAGTCAGGTGTGTTGTGGGTGTGGAGCCGTTTGAGCGCGTGATCTTTTGTTGTGGTTTCTTGTTTTGTTTTGTTTTTTTCGCTATCACTCTGCGTTTTTGTGGGTAAGTTGGCATCCGTCGAGGGACGGATGTCATTGTTGTCAATTGGCGGGCGGCCAAAGAAGTTACAAATGAGACCCAGGGGCTTGTAAACCCTTCTTGTACGTAGCTGTTGGCGTAGTCTCGCGATGTTCAGTTGGTGAATTTGGTGCTTGGTCATGACGATGGTGTAGCCGCAGGCAGCACATACATGAAAAACATAACGCTTCGATGCGTAAACATGTTGCGACAAGGTTTTTGTAGGCGTAGCTTTTCGTGCCCTCTTATCCCAAACAGGACCGATCCATGGCGCCCGCTCGAACGCTTCGCCCGTCGTTCCATTTGGCGTTTTGTCCGGCTATAGCGAACGAATGCGCCAGGAATGCCGCTCGCTTCACCCCTCCTACCCCATACCCCCCCAAAGCTTTGTTGCTTCGGTTGGGGCCCATCATTACCGATTTTCGTTTGTTTTGCTCCGCCGCTCGGGCTGTGTCGCGCTCGCTTTGCTTGCGCAGACAACACGTGGGTGTGTTGGACACACACCACGTCTCTCGTTCTTTTTTTTTTTGTCTGTGGATTTGTCAAATTTTAACGCGTGCTGTGCTCATTTGACCGCCGTGCATCTCGTTCCGACGCAATTATCGAAACAGGGGTTGGCGCCTAACATCTTGCGGGGTATGTCGATGAACGTCGGGATGATGGCTTGCTACGACCAGGCCAAGTCCACTACGATGCAGGTGTGTATGGAAGGCGAGAGGGTCTCTTCGTGACCAGGATCATTGGAACCTCGCTACAGTCGAGAGAAAAGCACGCAAGTGTTGTCGTCACTCCATGCTGTTCATTTAGTCTCGGTGTGTTTGAGCCTTCGTTGGAATCGCAAGGCCTGTTTTCAGGGTTAGCCCGGCGATGAATTTACGTACCCTGGTGCCGCGCAGGCGTTTATCAGCCATTTTTTTTCTGTTGTACACAAAATCGATGCCTTTGCGTCTATATCCCATGTTTGCACAGCAATGGCAACTCAAACGTGCGGTACTGCGAACAAAGACGTCTAGTCACCCTTTTTCAGTTGAGAGACAATCCGCACTTTCAACTCAGCCGAAACGTTACTTGCCCTTTTTGTTGTGTGTCTCAGCCCTCCGTGTGCCCCTCCCCCCTCCGTCTGACACACGCGTACACCGGGTGTAAATCTGGAACAATTGGACGAAATTCGTTTGTGGCTGGTTGCAGGTGTTCGGGGAGACTGACGCCAAGAACCCGGGCTTGCCAGTGAAGCTGAGCTCGGCCGCCATCGCCGGATTCACCGCCGCGGCCTTCTCGCTTCCGTTTGACATGCTCAAGTCGCGACTGCAGGTAAGGCTTATAGACAGACAGAAGACTACCGTTTCGATATGCTGAAGTTACGACTGCAATTCAGGCTAACAGATAGACAGACACATCGGCAGATAGGCGACCGTTTGATATGCCCAGGTCACTCCTGCAGGTGAGGCTAACAGACAGTTGACAGGTGGCTAGGCCTTTGCCTTCCCACTGCTGTCAAGACAGGGAACAGCCAATCTCTTCTTTTGTTTTTCTTGCCCTCTCGCTCTACCGTTAGTTATCGTCGTACCCGCTGGTGCTTGACGGCGTTGTTGTTGTTGATGCTTCTACATCAAATTCGTTCCGCGGGTTTTCGACACATACCTGAAGACGCTTGGTGCCCGTCGTGGTGCAAGCATGGCACGCCTCAGTGGCTAAGCGGCGAACACGAAAACAGTTCGTTTGCAGTGCTGTGTCTGTATCGTCACCGCTGGAAACAAATGGCTGCTCCGTTGATTGGTGATTGGCCGCCGGGTGATGGCCGATGAACCAAGTTCCCGCCAGATTGCACGGTAGCAGGGCTTAAGTCTTGCCGCCGCCCTTCAATGTTCGAGCAAAGTTATCTCCATCCCTCCTTCGTTGTCGTGTGCGGCGGGGTCTCCGTGTTGGTGTTGGTATTTCCTCGGCTCGCACACTCATGTCCTACTCCTCTCATCATCTCACCCGACTCTCTCTCCCCCCTCTCCCTCCCTCGCCGACCTCTCCCTCCTTCCTTCTGTCGTCGACGCTGCCCTGTCTTCTGGCGTTGGACGCACGACACATGCCCGTTGTAACACCACCAACGACAACAACGACGACGACGACAGGACCAAAAGCCCGACAGCAAGGGCAACATGCCCTACAAGGGGCTCGCGGACTGCGCTTCGGGCATCCTGCGGAAAGAGGGGCCGCTCGCCTTCTGGACGGGCTTCACCGCCTACTACGGCCGCTGCGCCCCGCACGCCATGATCATCTTGCTCAGCATCGAGAGCATCACCTCCGCCTACAGGACGATCTTCCAGATTGAGTAATCTACGATCAGCTCGAAGTTAGGGGGGTTGGGGGGGGGGGGACGAAATCCACCCCAACATGTCTAGATGATGAGAGGACGAGGGCGGGGCTGGCGGGGCTGCGGGCTGGCAAGAAGGGAACGGGCTGCGTGTTGCGTGCCGGTGGCCTTGTTTTGTTTTGTTTTCTTGTGTGAATTGTGTCGGCTCATTGCTAATGAGGGGCGATGGGCGATACTTGTTTTGTTTTGTTTTTTGTCAGGTGTGCCTTGGTTATGCTGCGGGTGGGGTCGGGGGGCATGGGGCGATGGGTTGGTATTCCGAAGGAGTTACACATCCGTCTACGCTGGAAAAAGAGAAGTATTTTCTCGGCGAATAATTTTNGGGGGGTGGGGGGGGGGGGGGACGAAATCCACCCCAACATGTCTAGATGATGAGAGGACGAGGGCGGGGCTGGCGGGGCTGCGGGCTGGCAAGAAGGGAACGGGCTGCGTGTTGCGTGCCGGTGGCCTTGTTTTGTTTTGTTTTCTTGTGTGAATTGTGTCGGCTCATTGCTAATGAGGGGCGATGGGCGATACTTGTTTTGTTTTGTTTTTTGTCAGGTGTGCCTTGGTTATGCTGCGGGTGGGGTCGGGGGGCATGGGGCGATGGGTTGGTATTCCGAAGGAGTTACACATCCGTCTACGCTGGAAAAAGAGAAGTATTTTCTCGGCGAATAATTTTGCGAGATTTTGGGTACCAAATGATCGTCAAGGTGTTCAGGTCACAACGAAAAGAGACGAATAAAAGACATGGTACGCTTGGACGGAGGGCTGGAAGCAGGCCGAGGCTCCGTAGCCTGTTGGAAGATGCATCGGGTTGGGGAAGGAACACTGTAACACTATCGTCATGTTCAGGAGGAGTGCTGTGCACTGACGGTGTGCAGAACACCCGACGATCCAGAGGCTAAATAGTCCGTCGCGTTGCGGCTGCTTACGTTCTGGTGACTTGTAAAGGTGTAGCCCCCCCCCCCCGCCCCCCGCCCCCGACAGTTCGTGGCGAACGCCCGCGTCCTTCGACGTGTTTGGTTGCACACACACGTTGATGAAGCATTCCTGGATGCATTCCAGCCACAAATGATGGAGCAGAGGGAAGTAACAACGACGATCAAGACGTAGCCACGGAGGTTTTTCTTTTCTAGAGGTGTTAGCGTGCTCACTCGCCGTTTCCGGTGTGACACACGCTTAGGAGTGAGCTGGCAGAAGATATAGAGCGGGTTGAGCCGCCGTAGATATCATTTGCACGTGTGATGGTTTTGTTTCCTTTTCATGATGCACATTCTTTTCATAAATAGCGCAGCTGCCACACACCCTTTTTCTGGTGGTTTTGGGGTGGCGGGATAACAGCAGAATGTTTCTTGCCAGGATAGGTAAGTCTCTTTTCTATTCTATTTTGTCCACCCTCCCTTTTTGTCTTCTTTTGGGAGATCGATTGTTGTTGTTGCTCCTCTGGCGTTGGTGAAGACGGCCGCTGCTGCCACCAGTTTTTGGTCGTGACCAATTTTTTCGGACACAAACATGAACTTCATCGGGAAGCTACATCGTACAGCATACTCCTGTTGCTGTGCACTGCCACAAATGTTTTCACGGAGTTTGTTGATGGCACAAACGAAACAGGTCGTCAATGTGGTACAGTGGTATTGGTCCTGGAGCCCGATGCAGTTGGCCCTCTGTAACTTTTGATTGCGGGCGACAACAAAAAAGCTAAAGGTATCTTGGGAACGCACGCGGCAAGGTGCTTAAGACTAGCAAGACGACAATAAAAAAAAAAAAAAGGGGGAAAAGTGGTCGAGGGCCGGCCTCGAACCACGGACGATGTCGTTTCAATGTAGTCTTCTCGATACATTTTCCTATTTTTTTTTTCGTCGAATCCTCATTTTTTAACGCCCGTGTGACTAAAAACTACCGGAAAGCTGCTCTTACCAAGCCCCCCCGCCACTATATGACCTATGGCACCTTCTGCACCTTGCAACAAAACGAAGCAACCGAGAACACCCCAAATATTACGATAAAATGCTATAAAAAACAGGTATGTAAAATGAGAAAAAAAACACGCCAAAAAACGCAAAAAACAGACGAAATTTAACGGTACAGTATGTAAAGGTTTAACTTAACGAAAATTTAGGGGGCATTCGCAGCCTTGAGCTTGTACTCAGATGGTGCTGGGCGCCTGTGCGATTTGTACGTTTGGTAGTGTTTCTCTCCCTCAGGCCCTACAGCACGCGTATCACGGTACACCAAATTATGTGTGTACGACTTCTTGCAGTACGCCTGCACCGTTCCCACGGCTTGCCTATCAGGCTCTACTCTAAAGCTCAACGGCACGTTTTCCCGCAGTGCATCTAATGAGTAGTTGCAATGCTTGCGTGTCCAGTCCTTGGCGCGGCCCCAAACTAGCTCTATGGGGTTGCACTCGCAGTGGTACTTGGGGAGCATGATACAGAACCCCCCGTGGCGCGCCATCAGGAGCGCTAGGCTGGACTCCACTTCCTTAAAGTCCTTCTGCTCGCCCAGGACGTGCTCCATGCTCATGCTGAGGTCCTGCTTCGTGCCGCTGCCCCCCGACTTGCTCATGCCGTCCTTCAGGAGCCCCCTCTCCCACAAGATCTGCCGCATGCCTTTCAGCTTCCCTACGTACTCCGCCGGCGCTAGATGCGGAGCGTACATCGGGGGGTCGTCTCCTGGTTGAAAAACCAAGTGCTGGATGGAGCCCTTTCCGAGGTTAGGGGTGTCTTCCCTCAGGGTAACGGCATCCATCCCGGCGATCTCTTCTCCCTGCCTCTTCCCACCGTGTCCCACGTTCATCCTTTTCACCGTTGGTGCGCCTTCCTCCAAGCAGTCGTGGCAGGACGACCAGTCGAACAGCCCCACTGGTTTGTGGTTGGGGTACTTGATCGCAAGCATGTCGATGACGTCCGACATGTGGTCGAGCATCTTGAGGCCAGTCCAGTACCCCTCCTTGTTCTTGCCATACTCAAAGAGGTGGTAAGACCAGTAGTTGCCTTCCTCGTCGACGTACAGCTTGTCGATCCGCCGGTAAACCTCGACTTTCACGTTCTCCCCTCGCTTAGCTGCAGCAGCCGAGGCGTTGCAACGCTTCCTGCGGAGCTGCTCGGCGGACTTGATCTCCCGCTTCGTGGCCGAGACGAATCCAACGTTGTGAATGATGGTTCCCGACACCATGATACCCTGCCCGGGCGATTTCTTCCTCACCACGTGCACGTCTGGCGCCCACCACGCGGCTTTTTGGTCGTCGTTGGCTGCGGTCAAAGAGGGAACAGATACGGGGTAGAGGGAAACGAAGGGACAAGAAGGGGTACACTTAACGGTGGCATTGTAAAAAATATTAACTTCATTTCCGAACCAGCCATAACTCACATGCGACGTAGGTAACTTTTGAAGCACGAAAAAAGACAGAATTCGAAAACATTCAACATGATTTTTACTGACAATATGAATACATTCTTCTCCAGCTTCAATTTTCTAATGTAGAATTTACCTCTGAAGATGCTCTCGTCCTGGTAGCAGAGAAGCGCCATCTTGCCGTCCTCGTACCGTAGCTTGCTCGTCACTCGTTCCTGCAGCGATTTCGGTAAGTCCGTCAAGACTGGCTCCAGATCGTCAACACCGACCCACACTCCGCCGTCGTCTGTTCTGTCGAAATCGCCCACGCGTGACGTGTCGATACACCCCATGTCTCCGCTTCAGCTACCTCCATCGGAATCCAAACCTCCATGTAGTCGCGGGTCTTGAAAAGCTCCGGAAGGTACGTGTCGTTTCGGTACTCCAAGACCTTCTCGTCATCGTGCCCATCGAAGTACAAGCCACCCTTGCCTTGGTGGTACTCGCACCCAAGCTTTTTTAGCCACGCTGTTGCAGTCCAAATCGAAATGTGTCGCTTCTTGGGCTCACCCTTTTTTACTTCCACCAGGTTGACTCGCAGCCCCTTGAAAGGGTCGTAGTCAGGCGTCATCAGCGCCTCAATCTTGGGCATGATGTCGGTGTTGACGAACTGGCGGAAGTCCTCGGCTGTTTTGTTCGCCTGTCCCTTGAGTATCCCACCCCAAGCGCGCGTCCAGTCCTTGCACTCGGTGAGTATGCTGTTGTCGAGCCCCAAGAGAAAGTTCCGCTGAAAGCGCCCCGCTGCAGAGACCTTGATGTGACCGCGCGCGAGGAAACTTCTTTCCCACTCGCGCACGGTGTCGGGGGTACAAAATCCCGTCTCTGCCGCCATCTGTAGAGCGGTCTCGCGATCGACGCCGTCGTTCTGTTGTCTGTACAGTTCCGCCAAGGTGAGTGCATGCACAACAATCTCTCCTCGCTGGTAGTTGGACAGGCTCTTGGCTGCAGAAGGGACCTGGTTCGGTGAAATAAAAGCAGAATGGAGTTTGACGAGTGCAATTAGCCCCAGCAAAAGATTTCACAGCACAGGCAGAGGCACGCGCTGCCAACAGTCATGGGAGAGAATGCACTGCTGTGTACAAAGCAGCTGACCATGCAACAACCGGTGTAGTAACACACAGCAGTAATGCCCATAAGTTTACAAACCGTACTTCAGCAGTACAGTACAGCAGTACTTTGTGCAGTTTAATTGCATTTATGAAAACTCACATCATCCTCCTCCTCGACTGCTGATGCGCTGATGACCACCGCAGCGTCCCTCCTGACCTTCGCAAAGTACTTCAGCTGCTCTTCACGAAAATCGTGGGCCACCACATCCCTCATCACCACCCTCGCTTCCGCATCTCGAGCGCGCTTCATCTTTTTCAGCGCCTGCGATTGGCTGTACCCCTTGTTCAGGAATTTCTTCCTGGCCTTGTCGACAAGCTCAGGCTCGATCTCCTTCCACACTGCCAAGGCTTCCTCCAGCTGCCAACAGGAGAGTTCAAAAGCGTCGGGGATGGCCTGCGTGAGTTGCTGCCGCAAGGCAATAGCTCGCTCCCGTGTGGCCCTCTTGCCGACGCTCCCCTTCATTCGTCCAGCGCCCTCTCTGGTGCCACCCCAACATGCGTTGCGCGGCCTCTTCCGTGTGCCTCCAACGCCAGGTTCTTTGAGAGAACCAGGTTCTGGGGCTGCATCTCGCAGCATGCCGTCGCGCGTAGGTGCGCTTGGCACACCCTCAGCAGTAGCGCTCATTGCCTGAAGGTCCAACCATGTCAAGAGCGACAGCTCATCGATGCACTCACGCTCGGCAGAAGCCAGCCGCGCACGCGGTTTCCCCTTTGTGATCCATCGGCTGCGCCACTTCAGCCGGTCCGCATCACCAGCAGAGGTAACGGCTATTGTGAGACGGTACTTGCGCGCGGTTTTCCTGTCGATGGCGACCTTGCGAATGGTGTATCCGTCCGGAAGGGTGCTCTGCACGTCTCTGTACTCCTGTGAGTCCTCATCATCGAAGTCCATATCTTTCGTGGTCTCTGTCCCGCACAACCCAGCAGTGTGTCCAGATGCACAATTTTTGAATTTTACATCTTGATTTTTTTCGGGTTCTGGCCCGGCATTGTTGCGTTTCGGAACAAACGTCCAAGAACCAGTTTTTCACGAGGATTCCAGAAACACGTTTTGTTTTTTTCACAACCCACCTCGGGGTCCCGCAAATAGCCATTTTGCATCCCCGCCGCCCTCTCCTACCCAACTTCAGATATACATAAGTCGCGAGGAAGGTATGTTGTGAAAGATGAAAATAGCTGCATTCGAAAGCTATGGTCCGTAGCTTTCATTTGATATATAATTTGTTGGGTTTGATGACGGGCCAGACCGAGAAAAAAATCAAGATGTGCTGAATCGGGCTCCAGGACCAATACCACTGTATGGACGACATTATTTGCTGCAGCTCAATTGGGAGAGCCATCTAACCTTATTAGAAAGTATTATGGATATTGTGGTATACCCCAGCAAGGTGGCAGAGAGGCACTAGTGTAGTGGACGCCCTGGAAGACGTGAGTGCTTCCGTGTGATGAAGAAGGTGACAAGATGTTGTAAACACTGGCGCTTATGTGGCCAACACACACAGATAAACCGCAGAGTATGCAGGAGTCCAGAAGATGGCTGGGTACTGGAGATGACCAGGATGGCTACGATGGCAGACAGTCAGGAAGGATCCACACGAGAGAGTGAGCTACTCGTCAACTCGTCAAGGCAACATAGAATCCCACAGAAGTGATTCCTCCGCATATACAACGCACGTTACATACCAACCGGCACATAACAGATCTACGATGATCTACGACGTACAAGTGCAGTGCTACTGAACATTGACTCATAATGGCTATGTGCTAACATTTCCATAACACTCCTCCTCAATGAAAGTCGCTCTGAATTGTACCAAACTAATGGTGATAATTTCAAGCAAGTAGATGCGTTTCATCCGTGTTTCAATTACGTGTTAGTACTTGTTTCCTACATAACTAAAATGAAAATGTAAACTGCATCCGAAACAGAAAATTCAAACAGACAAATCATTCATTTTCCTTTATATTCGACGGCGGTGAACTCGTTGACGTCGAAGTTGTTGATGAGGTCCATTAGGTGTTTGAACCTGTGTTTGTTGAAATGCTTGGTACCGATGTCGGCGAGGTTGTCCTCCGTCGGGACGTAATGGATGGAGATCTTCCCCTCCGTCACCAGTTCTCGAATAAAGAAGAACCGCAACGCGATGTGTTTGGTCCTCGAGCTGAAGGATCGGTTCCCCAATGCATGTAGAGTAGCCGTGTTATCGCAGTACACGTGCAGTTGTGCAAATTCTTTCCCAAATCCAAGCTCTTGTTGTTGATGTGCCCCATGCGCCGGTGCCAAAGATCAGCAGTCTCCACCCTCAAGGCAAGTCCGTCAGGAGTCTCCCCGGGGGTCTGTCGACCGCCATTCTCGGCACCGAGCTTGATGGTGATGGAGCAAGTGATCTTCCCGGTGTTATCCACTCCTTGGATTTCCACCTCCGCGCTTCTTGCGCGGCTTCGGCTTCTTGTCTTTCCTTGCGCGGGACGGCGGCGCAGACTTCGGACAGTCACGCTGG